CATCATACCAAAGGTAGATTGTACCAGCCAATCAGAGACTGTGCAGCCCAAACAGAAGCAGAACGATGCAAGCAATTGCTAGAAGCCCGGATAACCAATGAGACAACTACTTTGTACATATTATTTAATTCTCTTGTTTCTTCCAATAAACGAACTACCATTCCTGTGGTCTTTTCCTCGCGTCTCAGTTACGTGGGATATCGTGTGCTAATCCCAGTCCGGCCCAGTGCTTACGTGAACCAGTCCTTGATTGCTTATTTTTGATTCGTATTCCATGATTCTTATTGCGTGGTTCGTATTCCGAGTTCAGTAAGTATTACTACTACTGTAATCACTACACTTACTCTCTTAGGTGAATAGGGCTTATATTGACCAACTGAAAATTGAATTGAAATTCTCTCGACTTAATTGTAACAGGCGGTCAGATTTGAATATTTTCAACCGAATGGAAATCCTGGAAGCCTGTTCTAAAGGTAATGACCGTCTGAAACAAGCTTTTACATAGACATATCCCAGCTTGCAAACAAGCACGGTGCACAGACAAATGGAACGGAATGAGTAGCTGTGGGATGATCAAATGGACAATATGCTTGCACTCTATCTGTTAAATCTCGGAGTACATTGACCAATTCCCATGGATGATGAGATCTAATAAGTTGAAACAGTTGCACAGTGTTTCCTGGCTTTTCAGTTCACTTTCCCTTCACATTAAATGTCACAAAAGTCGTCATAAACCGAGTCCAATTTTCAACTACTACTCCTTATCTTATGCATCTCCTGTGTTCTCAAATCTTGATTTGTTCCAGTGAAACAGGATTCTATTTACTGGTATATATATAATGATAACTGGAATGGTCACTGTACCCTAACCCGGGTAGGCACCAATATACCCCGCACATTTCTGCAGAAATGAAACCAGATAAGTGTTCTGCTATTTGCACGATCACCTGACTAAACTTTGTATGTCTGCGAGCGGCCTCTGTCTCTCCTTTACAAAATTGTGTGCAGTGCTTCTGATCATTTGATTGATTCGGTGATTTTTGCGTCTGCTTTTGGACACACTGCAACAGTCCCGTCAACTAAAGTGAGCGTTATACACGTGGTGAGTAGGTGAAGTATCGAGGCTCCGTGGATTGACTGTCACCAAAGGTCATGCTCGACAAAATTGACGCAATTGTCCTGTGTTTTGCAGTTCAACCTTTTTATTTTTTTCGCTTTGTTCACGGTGTATTGCAATTCATACTGTTTTACTCAACGGAGCAAGTAAATCAATTTTTCTACTTGGGCAGCCATATCTCACCTGGTCGACACATCACGGATGTAGTTTCTTCACGCATGCACAAGGCTTGGTATTTACCAAATTAAGATCTTTGACGCTATCCCGATATCCGATTTTCTGCAAAGGTCGAATGTATGCTTTAGCTGTTTGGTCAGCTTTGCTCTCTACAGTGCAAAGACGGCCATTAGGAAGAGGATAAACGTAGGCTGTCTATGTTCCAAAACCGCTGTCTACGCCGCATTGAATGAGTCTGGTGGCACAAGCGGACAAGCAAAACTGAGTTCAGGTGATCGCAGTCGGACACAGGGGCAAGTGGTCAGCTTCCTCAGACTACGTTGGTTCAGACACGTGTTATGCATGTCAAAATAGATTGTAACGGCCCGCTTTGTGGTAAAGGGCGGCCAAACTGAAACCTGACATGAAAATATGAACACACTAACCAGGAGACTCGGTCAGATACGTTGCATTAGGCTCCCTGGATGGGAATTTCGGGATCACTGCAAATTGCCTTTCCTTATTTTGCTAACACGGAAATTTTGTTCACCTAAACAGATCAATTATTTCCTTTCTTCGGTCTCCATTTAACACTATTTTCTTAACATCAATAAAGTCACTTCATAATATAATTTAACACAATAAAATTTTGTACGAACTTATCAGTGTTGAATTTTCATGTACACTGGACTTCAGTTGAACAATAGGCCCTAGTTTCCAATGTTGTATCAAATTAAATCACATATTTCTGCTTCTAAATGCAGTAAATATACACGTGTCGCATGCGTGCTCTAGACAAATCATTAATAGGATACATAGAAAAAAATCAATGCCGCACTGATCTTGGACTGGTTGATAAACTAAGCCTGGCAATACGTCCGATCACATGAGCCGCCGCGGCTTGCAATTCAGGTGGCGCATCGCACATGATTTGTAATAACGTTGACGTCACATCCAAAGCCCGAACGGAGGAGCAAATCACACTGTCTGCACTGAGCACGTCCAGGGCACGTGCTGCGCTGATTTTCAATTCCAGACTCCCGAGTCGAACAAATTCGATCAGGGCGTTCAGTACGGCCCGATTCCGAAAAGCCCGAACCATCACATCGGAATTGCCGAATTGTGTGATCGCCTTGGTGACCCCGATTCGTAGACAATCCTCTTGAGCGATTGTGGTCAAATTGGCCAAACAGGGAACCACACCGAGTTCAATCAGGATAGCTCTACCCTGGTCTTCGGAAGCAATTTCTGCCAGGACAGAACACAGAGCGGACAATAGCTGTTCTTTTTCCAAATCCGGTTTGGGGCTGAAAGCACTCAACTCAGTGTATTCTGTGCTCAAAGTTTGAACCAAATATCCTAACGAACTACTGACCGGGCGAAGCAGTTTTGAGCGACTCTGAGCCGTGTTTAGAAATGCACGTACTGCCCATAAAGCTGACGTACGAACACGGGGATCCGGGTGAAAACTGAGCGAGAAAAGGTAACGAAATCCTTTTTGTTTGGTTAAAATTTGCATTAGATTCTGATCCGCGCCGAGTGAAGCGAGCGCGTTAATTGTGGGTACCAGAATATCCGGTGAGACGTGACTCAGCAAGTTGATCAGATTTTTCAGACTGGAAGAACTGGTGGCCAGTTGTGTTTGGACAACAGGCAATCGAGCAATCAGCGAGAGACAGTGAATGTTTAGTGCACAAACACGTTCCAGTAGGGTGACTTTTTGCAACTTCGTGGAAACGGCACAACTAGGCTGTCGAAAGCTCATCAGATATGGAGGAACAAGATGTAAAAGTTTGATCAAACATTCCGACACCCCGAGTTGATGTAAAGTAATTAGATTCGATTCAAGGCTACAGCATTTCCCAATGACGGCCAGGATGGTGTGCAACAACTGAAACGTGATCGAATCATCGTCTTTGTCACTATTTGATCGGGATGCAGCCGAACCCGTTCTGGTATGGCTGACCGATTGGCCAGACATTCGAAGACGCGAGACACGAACTTCCGGCTGAGGTGAATTGGTCTGTGGTTTCATGGATACGGATGAACCATTATTTTCCTCTCTCGTCAATCGACGTTCCGCTAGATTGTATTCAATGCCACCTGCATTGTTTGCTTCAATCCAACCTAACCGTAAAAGTTTGGTCGCCTCGTTGATCTGAATCTTCAGATTTGTGCTCAAAGCATTCAAACCCCCCAAAGTGGAAATCATCACCTTGGTTACATCATCGTTCGCGCAATAGTACAACGTTCGAGCACATTGTAATTTCACTTTGGGATCCGTACATCGTAAATGTTCACTAAGAAATTTCAAAATACCCTCTGTTCTTATTGAGAGCCGAAATGCAGCATCAGTCGCACAACCTTGTAGAATACCAAGAACCGGTACAAGGACTTTTTCGTTTTTTATTTTGACCAATCGTACAAGAGTCAAAACCAGACCGGCACGTTGCATTATGTGTCGATTAATGGCACTGCGACTGAATCGCCATAGTGCGGTCGCCACCGATATCAGAACACGCTCACCACGTAGCATATCCTCTCGAGCGCGTAATTCTTCCTCATTAACTAAACTGTGTCTACGTTTGGATCGATCGGCCGATCTCAAATACGGAACGTTTTCACTGCGCATCGGATTTTCCGTACGATGTGCGGTCATGTTGAGTAGACCAACCAAATGTTGTATACCTTTGGTTTGCGGAATAATCTGACGTGCTTCTTTGAGCAAAGCTAGACTGGCTAACAGATCGGAAGTCATCACTTTGATATTGTCATCCGACTCAAGTAACAAATTGACCAACACTTGCACAGCCCCGTAAGCGACAGCCATTCGTCGTAGATACGTAACCTTGAACAGGGAGGAAAGTAATTGCATTGAGGCCAACTGGACGCACATTGTTTTACATTCTAACATATTCAGGAGTAATGCAATTCCATCACTTTCTTCGACCGCCTGAACCACTTCCGGACTACGTTTAATCAACCGGTTCAAGGACAAGAGGGCAATCATTGTGCCTTGAACATTTGTAATACTAACATAGCGAAATAGTTTGATAATTTTAAAATACGAATGTCCCATTTCAGACGGACTGATAGACTGAAGCACAATGAATTCTTCAAAATCTTTACGTTGCAATTCCTCGTCTACTTCATATGCGAACGGACTGGCCTCGATGTCATGCAATTCCGGGTCGAGTGTTTCTTCCATCTCTTGTTTCAACGATTCCATGTCCAGTTTATAAAAGTCGGTGAATGCCACGCGTTTGATCATTGGATGTCTGATTCGCTCACGAGTGATAAAATCGGTGTACCGCCCCTTGTCCTGGTATCGTTTCAAATTGGAAACCACCTCGGTATACGACTTCCTATCGAAGGGATTTGGAATAGGCGCGTCATTATCCCATACGGAAGCGGATGTTTTCGCGTTTTTATTCGTTTCTTCTTCAAGTGCCGGTTTTAGCGGGTTGTGATTATGATTTTGCCATCCCCTAACATTTCGTGTCATAGTTGGTGGCACTTTCTTTGATGTTGAGGCAGGTGAAGAAGTTGTGCTGGTACTTGAACCGGACTTAGTTCGACCGTTGTTTTTACTTGCAAATGATTGGGATAAACAAACGGCGATCATTTGTGACTCGACATTCGGTCTGATTTGAGGTAACTGAACACTGTCATGATCACTATCCATATACGGCGAGGGAGAAGAATTGGATTAGGTTTGTAAACAATGACCGGAATATACGTAGAATTAGCTGGACAAAATAATCAATAGCTCCGATGTCCTTACGGATTAAGTCACGTGAATTTGAATGTTGTCCAGTCCTCGGAATAACTTCGTGAGCAGCTGCTGTCTTTTGGACCGGCTGAATAAGTAAAAATACTTCAATTTGTTCCAGATGAGAACTGATTTCGGAGAACCTCTATCAAAGTTTTCCTGAGTGTAGTTCCGTATGAGTAGGTGACCTAAATACTTTAACAAATAGAACGTAAATGAGAAATTAAAAGCTGAAAAATAAAATTCATTATTAAGCTAATTGCTGAAAATTCATCCTTTGGGTGCATAAAGCGTTTTCTTGACTAGGCGTAATATAATCACGTTCATGGTCTGCAAGGTAAGTGTTAATAGGGCAAGCTATATGGTAAAAGGTGTAATACCTCATAAAAATGATCCGAACTCACGTCTCCAGTAGAGCAATAAATATTTTTGAGTCTATTCACGATTTGGTTCCTGAAAGCCTCCACATTGCTTGTGCAGCAAGCCGAGTTCTTTACCGCTATATGTACACATCCCAAGGAGTACATTGCCTACGAGTTCGTTATTAGAGTTGCATTACTCTTGGGCATGCAATGTATTTCCAGGTTTGCAATACCGTTCTTTTGTTAGTAATTTCCAACCGTACATGTATTGTATGCTCAAAATATCTTTCACCCGGTTAATATTACATTGCTCCCCTTTTACACTCTTTAAGCTTATGTTTGGTCCCGCTTAATAAACTTATGCAATGTATGGTTAGAATGCAGTCTGAAATCAAACCATGAAGATATGTATAGTATATAAATGGATGGACAAAAGTTCCCGGAAGCACACGGCCGGTATCCCGGTCCATGCCGCTGGTCAGGCATAACTATACCTTGTCAACTTCAAGAGAATCCGTTGTAACTTCAAGTGAATCCGTTGTAACTTCAAGTGATTCCAACCAATCACATTCCACTGGGAACCCAAGAAGATTTTGGTGTTTCGGCCGTCAAACGTCACCAGTTGAATCCGGTCTGTCTAAACCCCGTCCAGTTCAAATGAAATAACTTCTCTGTAAACAAACAAATGTACTTTTTGAGTGAGTTACCAAGCGAGGATGAAAGTTTCGGTGGGATGAGGTGGGCGTGTGTGAGGGGGGAGCACACACGCACGCACACCCGATTCGACCTGGTAACGTTATGATCGTAATCGTTGATCGAGTGTGCGTCATAGATACGAATGAACGAACCCAGAGTTAATTGACCCCTGTCGGTCGGGTAAGGAAGCGAATCACGTCAAGATGGATCGATAAGTCAGTCACCATGCCCAGACGCGAATGGAGTGCTCTGCTCTGCTGCTTTCCGAATCGCAGTGTTTCACCGATCTGATTAAAATCAACTATCCCCCATTATTACATAATCACCAAACTGAATTCGTCTCCTGTACGCACTGGCGGATACAGACTCATTTGCACATTGACTTGGTTATCAACTGAAGCTTATTCTGGCCCGTTATTTTTTCTACCCAAAACCTTTGTCAGCGTGTCTCGTGGAAACTGTCTTCAACTGGCTGTCGTTCTGCTGGCTTTATTCTGCTCGGTAGTCTGTTATAATGCAGATCTTTGGGTACAAAGGACAATACATTCACATTGTAATCCATAAAGACGGACTAATCGGTGATATTGTTATTGTAAGAGCCTATCTGTCCTCAAGGCAAATCAAGTGAGATAAGGACGGTAGTTAATTTGGAATGTCTTTTATTTCTGTCACAAGACCCATCATTGATAAAAACGCAAAACAAACAAAAGACAAAAACGGTAGGGATGCACACCCATCACCTCCACCCAACCCTGATTCATCGCATTGTTGGACATGGTGTTACATTTGAGTTAGTGAATTGAAATGTTTATTTGGCGGTGCAGCGAACGATTATGTGTCACAAAAGTGGAACACGGATTACAATCGTATCCATAATGGCCCACAACCCAAAAGCATTCAAATAAAACAGAAACCGTGACAAAGGGGTTGTGGATTTGAACACGGTGGTTGTCTGATTCATTGAAACAACCTCGACCATTGTTTTTCAGTTGTTTTTGTCTTTTATTGACCCGATTACCAAAAAGTAGATTCATACTTTCAATTAATTGTACATAATTGTCTACATGAGTAAAAAAGATGGTCATAGGTGCGAATTGAGAGCAGTGTCCGTAGGCTTTTTGAACTCAATTGTTAATTTGTGCAACTAGCAGTGTATACATGATTTGTGTAATGGAAGTAATAAATTTATATTACATGGCGCTTTGATTTCGTTTTTAGAAGGACAGAATCATGTCATTTGGGCCCAGTGTCCTCAAGATGATACCATCAGTATGAGGACATACTCTACCTGAGAGTATGAAATTCGGAAATCACATTTGATGGATAATTTGGTGACACGGTCGAGCCGATCGTGCCCTGTTTCAAATGCACTCGATAGTGTCTATGCATGCTGTGTTTCAGGGAAAATTCTTTGCCACAATCTGGACACACAAATGGTCTTTCTCCTGTGTGAGAACGCATGTGACGTTGTAAATCTTGTTGGCTACCGAATCGATGCAAACAAATGCAACAACTGACGTGACGTATGTCTGTTACACCGCTTTTGGCATTGTCACCATTTATAGTTGTCTCCATTTCATCCTTCGGATAGGGAACATTCTCGATTAATGAAGTCAGGGAATCGATCGGGCAGCCACTGGAGCCGAGTTTGCCGAGGAATTTGGTCCATTCTTCTGAATGCCGAACTGACCAGTGTTTCAGCGTAACCACTCGATCGTTAAAGGACATCTGACATAAATGGCATCGAAATATTACATTTTCCATTTGGTGGTGAGTTAAATGCCGTCGAAACGATTTGGTGGTCACTGTGGCCAAACAGATCGAACATCTCAAAATGGTCACGTTGTTTGACGTCGTAGATTGGAGGCTCAGGTCTATGGCTTTCTCCGAACTATCTTCAGTGGATTTTGATCCAACAATATCTCCTTCCGGTTTGATCCAGTCCAAATCAGCCACTTGAGTACGTTGAGATCGTCGATTCCTGCGCATTCCCCTAGACCACTGTGTATGTCGTAACATATACTCACGCGGAACCGATAAGTAAGGATGTGACGGAGGAGCTGCATTGGAGCCCGGATTCACTGCCGCCGCTGCTGCTGCCGCTGCAGTGGCTGCCAGAAGGGCAGCACTATAGAGACGTTCGGGATTCGGTTCCACGACTGGATCTCCGGCACGTGTCAATAGGGTATTACTAATGTCTTCTGCCTGTTTCTCGTTCGAGCTCATTGAAATGATTTCATCCTCACGCAGCTCCTCGCTTCCTTCAGGCAGATTCGATGCTGTTTCTGAAGCACATGCACTGTTAAACGATCGTGTGTCCCCAATTGAATCGATTCGTTGTCCATCGGGACCCTGTGCACACTGGACCCGTTGACGTTGACGCTTCAAGCTTACTTGATGTACACGTTCCATGTGACGTTCCCGATTAGATTTGGTGGAGAACGATTTGGTACAACGGGTACACGCAAACGGTTTGTGGGCTAAATACGAGAGGAACAATGAACAGATTGAATAAACAAATGAGAGGATGAGGGGACAATAAAGAAGACGAAGTGGTTAACACACTTAGTGCATAGCTATGTATGAGTGAACTGCTTATTCCTTCTACATTTATAGGATGTAAATATGCTGATGATGTAGTACTTCGCCGCAAACTTTCGTCCCCTAACGATTCCTCTGAAGTTCTAATGAGGCTGTACACAGTCGCCAGGTGGTTTACATCTCGTTCCATTTCTATGAACGTCATCAAATGTGAGGATGTGATTTTTTCATTACACTTCGGTGAGCCACACCGGGCTCTGAGAGTCGACTTTCCCTCTTGTTGCTAACACACCCAATACCAAGCTCCTCCACACTAAACTATCTTGGGGGTGTTTTTACCCATAATCTGTCATGGTGCACGTATATCCACAAGAAAGGTTCAAGGTTGGAAGACTATCATTTTTATCCCTGCGACTAAACATAAACTATTCAACATAACTTGATCCTGAGGTTAGGAAAGCTTGCATCATTCATTTTCCACTGGTTATATTGTGTACCAGTTGTTTATCTTGACCTCCTCGCGAAGGAGATTTTCTTCTGACAATATCTTTAAAGCGCCTATCAGAATGCGGTGGAATTCTTAGTGATCCTGTAGACAATATTCTTACTAGACATATCGATGCATCTAACGAGATTATCTCTTCTGTACTTACAAATGTCTCATATTCTTCAATACAGTGAACTATATAGAGCCGTGTCCGCACCCACCACAGGAGCTGGTTTCAGAGTCTAATATTACATTGTCACTACAATTCTATTAGTCTCCTTGTCGAGGGGGAAAAAAACTGTTCAATGAAATTTTACGTTCTACGACTTCGATTATTAAACTTCAATTTTACTTAGAATATTTGCACTGATGACTATGTAGAAAGCTGAAACGTCACCCCACATGGGTTTATAAAACTTGTACTGATCTAATTTGACATGGTCAATTGGGCAAAACTGTTTTACTGTTGTAAATGTGTGGAATTATTGTAGTTCGGGATGCGGATGCTGCTTTTGGTGTCCTTTTCGAGCTATAAGTGTTGTTCGTAGGCGTTTCGTAGCCAGGTTATGCTACATCATCAGTGCTTCCCGAAGTTCCACTGATGATGTTGTTTGGCATGGCTACGACACGACTGCGAACAACATTTCTAGCTCGGAGAACACACCAACAACAACAACACTATTTTATTGTGTCTGTGAGGTGACTGTCTCCTGTCACCTGACGAGGAACGGGATTTTTCGTTGCGGAATCTGGTCGGGCTCGTGACATGATGAGATCATGACAGTTGTTAAACTAGGTCAAATAGTAGTTTTCCAAAGGTGTGGTGCAGAGCGTGGAGTCTATCCGAGTCTAGTAACGCAGCCTTGAAATCTCCAGTTACCAGGATATACACGTTAAGGTGGATAGATCATAAAGTACTCAGGTGATCTAGCAGTAGTTGGAATTCTACATCTTCGGCGTTCGCGTATAGCTATGTTCGTCAAGATTTGTGTTGCATTGTCCACAAATAACAAAGTTATGCAGGATAAATCAGAGGAAAATGCGAATTCACGAAAGCCCCTGTTTGTTATCCATAAATTGAATCGTTCAGTTATTTTCTACGCCCCAATTACAGTAACAAGATGAGATTAAGCAATTTTCGAAATGGTACTGATCCTCCTTACCCCCCCCCCCCCCNGTTGATATTTACGGAAATTTCCCTTAAGAGTTGGGTGAATGACAAAATGTAACGTTATAATCAAACCGACTACATAGACAGATTCTTCTCTCAAACACTTTGATTATCTAATCTATTCACTCAACTCCCGATCAGACGGTCATGGATATTCACTTACGTGTATGTGTGAGAATGTGTCGCTTCAAGGAACTGTTCCACGGAAACTTCTGACTACATCCAGGGATTGGACAAGTAATCAGTTTTGGTGCATCTTTGTAGGAGTTCTTTTTATGCACATAGGGAAAACGTAATCCAGGTAACAGAGGAATAGGTAACGCACGAGTTGCGTTGGACACCGGGATCGGGCTAGTAACCACAGGGGAATGGAGTATTGGATCCGCATTGGGTGATGCTGATGGTGCCACCACGGCAAACGATAGCATATCTACGCTAAGTGGACGCATCGGTTTCACTGAAGGAAATGATGCCACAATTCCGGATTCCGCTCGCACAGGAGATGCAACATACACAGTATCCTTGGGACACTTGTCGTTTGTCAGTCCAAGTAAACTTTTGTTGGCTTTACATTCAAAAGATTCGTTCTGGTGCGGAGCATTGTCGTTCTGATTCATAATGGGCGTAAGTGGGATGGCGGAAATCGTGTCGGATGCCACCGACTGATCGCTCGTTTGTCGACAGTTTGGTAAGTTACTCCTTTTTCTTTTCGGTATGGATAGATCCAAAATCTCCACATCTTTTGGGTTATTTAACGGTTCAGGAGATAGAATGTGATTTACTCCGGTCGGATGTATATCTTCGCTTTTCACGAGCAATGCAATCGGTGGACCGCTTTGACGCTTGAGTCGCTTCACAAACCGGCTACAGATAGGAAGTGACGAGAAAAGTCTTAAAATGAATTTAATAATCCTCGGAGTCACAGTGCTATTTTGTACGTAAACAAGTATTAATGCAATACACTGCAATACGTCGGTCGCAAAGAAGGGCAGCTTAAACAAACTAAAAATGACAGTATATTCAACTCACTGAAGGCCGAATTATTTACTAGGAAAGTGATACCACCGTTAACTCCGAATCCATGACAAAATTGAAAGGAATTTGTCACAAACAAAACAGAATTCCTTCGCACGAAATTCAAGTAGCATTGTATAGACATTTCATCATTTTGAGGTTTGAGGTCGACTGACCGAATTAAAAACGGAACGGACGAAAAGTTTACGTTCATTCACAATACCTAACACATTTTAAAAACAGCTTTCAATAGTTGCAACTTAAATATAGGAATTTATTCTTCCCAAGAGATTCAAGGTTTTCCAAATCCAGCAAGTACCGGTTTGTTCAAGTTTGGTTTCTCTCAAATGCTTAGAAAGATGAGTTATCCTATGATATGTAAAAGTAAAGCGAAACAGTCTGTGGATTTCGATCTCTGAGTTTTCTCTGGACCTACTTGCCTATAACGCTAAAACAGCTTTATACTGCATATTGGCCTTTCGGCATACATTTCTCTCGTTAATACTAATGATTATATATTACAAAAAAGTGTTTGATGTGCACTAACTCAAGGACTTTCAACCAGTAATCAGAAAAGATAATGATTCGTTAACAACCCTTTAAGAATACTGTCAGTCCAATCCAAATTGCCAGCAGATATGAGTTCACATGAACATTCACACACTTCATAATAGGTCGTATCACATACCGTCGAATGAGCAACTGGGGGTGAAGTTTGAACCGCGATTGCGCTCGGATGTGAGAAGTCGAATTTTCTGGTTGAGTTGACTTGGAAGGTTTGGGAAAGTACCATCCTGAAAGGGAGGATAGGCTTTGGTTCAGAGCACACTGTTTATTGGTCTGTTAGTTAATTTTTAAACCCTACGATATTCGCTATTTTCTCCAATCTCGCAACTTTTTTAAACACACAGAAGTTATTTTATTGAGGTGGAGTTTTTGGTTATTTTCGAATGTCAATTCAAAAACGGCATGTGTTACAGTAGTCAAGAAAACACCCTCAAAAGCAAGTACCAAAGGTATTTGAACTTACTCGGCTTGAATATTCTCTTTACGTCTCGTATCCTTCTTCCTTTTCCCACTACCGTTTGGCGATTCGAGATTAACCAATTATTTCCCTGTTGGAAAAAGGTTCAACGAATATATTTTATGGGTTATATGCACAATCAGATGAAATCCTGAATGTCTAAATGAGTTTATTTTGTTTATAGGAATAAAGGATTAGACTTGATTATACAGTAAATTACCTCGTGTTCAGAGCAAATGAATTGTGAACTGTAAAGCTAGAAAGCTGTGGACATCTTTTTCGACCTGGTTGGGTCTCAGCGCAAGCATACTACCCACTCAATTACCGGGCAGCCGAGTGAGAAGTATGCTTGTGTTTTACCAGTGAGGTCCCGGTAAAACACCCAGCTGGGTCGATGAATCAACATTGCTGATGAGATCCAACCAGGTCAAAACAGCTGTCCGGTACTTCCTGGCTTTACAATGCACACATCATTTGCTCTTTAATTGATTAACTTCATTGTATTGCATATATCCGGCTCATCTGAACAATAATAATTAACAAAAATAGTAATAATACTTTTGGTTATCACTCACTTCGACATCCGCGTTCCCTGACCTCGATGTTGTACGTGAATTTTCTGCACTTTGCGGGATAGAGAGTGGGCGACCCGATTCACAGTCAACTCCAGTGATCCTGGATCTTTCGGAATCCATAGACCGGTCCATGGACGTCCATAGATCGGTGGAAGAAGACGCGGAACTATTTTGTTTTAGTCCAATTGAGTCAGGTCCATCACCTGGTCGTTCATCCGCTGTGCTCATTGGTGTTGGAGTCACGCTCAGAATATGATTAGGGGTTAAAACTACTGATGTGCCACTGGTCACAGCAGTACCTGAAAATGGGATCGCATTGACCATCTGGGGCCACAAAGCAGTCAGCAGACCTGTATTGAGTGGTAGTGCTGCCACATCTGCAGCTACCACTGGAAATGGAATCGAGGGTGAGGCTGATAGTTGCTCAGATGGTGAGGTATGCGAATGTGAAGCATGTCCAGAAATAAGTTGCAGTAACGCTGTATTTTGCAATCGGATAGAAGCCCAGTGAAGCAAGTTTTCTGGAGGCCAGTTCTTTTCAGATGAAACCAAGGAGCGTTCATGGCTTGTAGTAGAAATGCCAACTTTTGTTTGTTCGTCATCAAGAATTGCGATGGTGGGAGATGAACACACTCGTCCGTCTGTAATTGTCTTGTGACTGATAGGTCCCACCGGTCTAGTGAAACCTATTTCGGCTGTTACCGGATCCATTTCTTGTGTTACCTTTCCAACGGACCCAAACTTTTCGTTAGGAAACAGATTGCATAAGGTTGTTTGATCACTTGTGATCCTGGTGTCTTTCGACTGGGTTGCAGCGGATATATTTAGGTTAAGAGCGAGATTTTGAGCGATATTTGAGTTGGCACCGGACTCTGTGCTGTCGTCAAAAGTGGAGTTTTTAAATCCCTGTTCCGAATGAAAAATGGCAGATTCTTTTTGTGCATAATCCACCAGCTGCTGCTCATCGTTTGTGGTTGCCGGGTGCCAGTTAGTCTGATTTGATATATTCGAGTCGAGCGGATTGATAAGATTAACTGATTTGACTTGATGAGACGTACGAATGTGACGACTAAGATTACCGTTGGTTGTAAAAGCTTTGTCGCAGAATGTACAGTTGAACGGCCGATGATCTGAAGAAAAGAAAACAAGGAAAATATTTGATTGATAATTTGTCCAACAAATTTATGTCTTTTTCTACTAATATAAGGCTGATAAGTATAATTGCAAATACGTCATTTCTTGTGGCTGAGAACTATCTAACGCCCGAAACTCACTGGTATGTGTCAGCAAATGTCGCTCGAGCGAACTATTCGAGCTGAGCTCGCTGAAACAAAAGCAACACACGTGTTTATAATCCTCTCGTTTGAAACTGCTTTGATGCTCCTGCAAGTGGTTTGTCAACTGTCCACGGCTGAATATTTCAGACTTTGAGCACAGGGGACACTTGAACACCTCAACAGAACCTCGCAGAGCGTAAGGTTGAATCTGAAAGGAGAGAGAACGCAATGTGAAAATCAAGAACCAGCGTTTTACGAGACCATGTTCATAAAATTAAGAGTTAATGTAGTAGTCAAAGTAGGTACGGATTACGGATCACGAATCACGGCCTTAACTGAAGCACAGAATCGCACTAGCAATCGTACACTGAAATCTCCCGTCACCGAGACGTAGGAAAAAGCCACAGACGTATAATTTCGTCCACTGAGATAAATCAATGGGATTAAATAACATGTACAAAGGAATTTTATTGGTTATACATGTCTCTACCGATGGCCTGCTTGTATTCTTGCTGTCCTACAGCTTCTGTCTGGACTGCAAGACTTCCGACTGGTCGACAGGTTTGGCCTGAGGTGCGTTATCCAGAAACTGTAACGCGTCGCTAGGATCACTTTAGGGGTTGAACAAAATTTATCACCTTTCGCGACACAAAAACGGATTACTGGTTTATTTCTCTAAACAACCTAAAGTTCAGTATATTTGCCTCATCAATACGTGATTTATATTTTTGTTGCAATCTTCTTGATACAGGAGATGAGAGAGAAGTTTACCCATGCTCAGTTTGACGGCAGTTGACACCACCACCACCACCCCCTGTATTAGGTCATCTAACATGATTTTAATTTTCAACGACATCGCAAGACGGAAGCACAGCATTTCCGTAGCCTGCATCGCATGAATGTGTACAGTGTGAAAGATAAAAATCAAGCATTTAGCAAGCCATCACTATCTTACAGAGACCGCATTTCAATCATAGGTGAAGCTGATCAAATTTGCATGATACGGTATGCCTGGGGCTTAGTCGCCCTTTTCTTGAATTATCCTCCTTTAAGATACTAATTAGAAAATCGTTTGCATTATTCCACAACTCTAAGAGGGAATATTTCGGCTGGCACAAAGAGCATCAGTTCGATGCCAGCTCTATTAAATATATTCAGATGCAATAATCGGTATGCATTTCGGGTAACAAGTTTGATTGAGATGACTAATCTGCTGCTAAACATCTGCTACTGGTTGAGATTTAGTCACCTAAATTTTGTCCGTCTTTTGTCAAGAATAAACAGCTAAATGTCTATGTCCATTCGAGGTTACTGAGATCAAAAGGTCTTCTTAAAGCCTGTATTTCGGAGTACTTTTGGCATGATATGATTTCTAAATGGAATGAAAAAAATTGATTTCAGAATCATGTTCTCCCTTCAGGTTACTATCAACCATAATAATACTGTGGAGGTAAAGAAGGTACTGAGATTGATCAGATTAGCATATGACCATGAGCAATTATCATCGAGCTCCCAGATTCGGATACCGTAGTAATTTAACGCAACTAGCAGTATGCCAACCAACGAACCATGGTAGGCCCATATTGCCTGCCCGTCACTGACCAATTTTGATTAGACTGACACTAAAAAAGCTCTATGCTTTCCGATAATTGTATGCTCCCTGTTCAAACCACAAACTGTTTCGTGGTTGAGCCCAGAACGTCTCGGTGACACGGACATTGACAGTAAAGCATTTCTACAATAAAAATGTTCTCCGTGTTCTGTGCATCATGCACACTGTTTGAATAGTGACAATCCGGCTCTCTGCATTAAATGTCAAACTGTTGGATTTCCACAGTCTGGAACAGCGCAGCGATTAGCGACCCCAAATGCTACTGACTTAATTCTACTGTAAAAAGTGAAGTTCTAATGTTCAAAAAAGAATTTAAAAATACAAAGTAGTTAACTCAAATATCTCGGTAAGTGTCAACTAGCTGACAGATACAGGTTTTGTTATTCCGTTCTTATTCAATCACAAACTGAGCCCCCGTGAAATTCATTCAAATGGATTAAGGTTTTGGATTACAATCGGATGCTCAGTAGTAAAGTCAAGTTAACTATAATTGAAACAGTCGTTTAAATACCGAGCAGCACATATTTGCAAGATGTAATCCCCCACGCCCCACACTCTCGTCCTGAGAAGGAGGTGGATATGGATGTAGGTTACTACTGATCCCCTCCTGTTTGCAGTCACTCTTCTTGACGTCTTTGATTATCCTTGTGTCCTTTAAAGCGCTCACCCTGAAATCTATAAAAATGCACAACCAAACAACTTTTCTTTGTCAATTTATAATCAGTCTATAATTGAAAAATGTTTGTTTTTCTTTATGATTGAAATTGTGCGAACAAAGATGAAACGTGCTGCCCCCAAAACAGAACAGATCACATATTTATAAACATTGTATAGGATCGGAACCATTTGTTAACACTTTGGGATATGTGCTGCAACCACGTTTCTTCCGCATATCATCAGTTACTTCATGCGAATTACAAATGGACATTATATATGTTTATGAATTCAAGGAATTCTAACTTTTGTCGTTGATAATCGTCAGTATTGTTTAATCGGTTTATTAACTGCCTGTCTAGGTGTTTTAACCTTTCATCTCCGCCTTATGCCTACTGAAACTCTCTCTCACACACATTAACACCTCATCCTCACCCGTCTGCTAACCATTTTTACCCATCTTTATTCGGATTAAGAGAAAAAAAGCATTCGTAAACTAGTTACGCTATCTTGTGAACAAGTATCACGAATCTCTCCTTTGAATCTGTTTGTCACCATACCCCAGACACATATATAATGTCCAATTGTAATTCGCATGAAATAACTAATGATATGAGAAAGAAATGTCCCTGCAGCAGACATCCTACATGGCACTACTGGCCTTTTTCAAATTTATTCGGGGAAATTATTGCTTCAAACACATTGGGAAACAAAGCTTACTAAAGGAGCAAATCTTCCCATAGACCACGCTGCTATGCGGACTTACTTTGATATCTTCTCTCGGTTTGCGTTTCATTGACTCTGAGCTCATGTTCATTTCGCCGTCTGAATGCGTCTCACCAGACAGTAGCTCCGATGACTCGGCACATTGTCCGGACTTTGATAAATCAGCCGGTCTTGATTCGTCACAAGTTTCCAATTTTGTCCACCATGTGTCCCCATGTGGCCACATTCGTGGTTCGCTGTTGGATATGGGTGATCCTGTGTGATCCTCTGTGTGTGTACTCCGATCGGGTGCTGGAGAGGAGAATTCCAGTGGTATCGGTTCATTTTGGTGAGTGGAGTCTAAACTCTCGTTGCGTGTGCTCGGACTGATAATTGTTTCTCCGGTGGGAAGACAGCTACTACTGTCCATCGTATTGTTGATAGTCATTGTAGGAGAGCGATGTGTCGCGCCACCGTCTGCCAACAATCCCATATCTGAGGATGGATTTGATACTGAATAGTGCATGGGAACTGGCATAAGAGGGGTATTTTGTGGTGGGCTTGTGGACGCGATTCCCGATAGTTTGGTCGACCTTGTCTGGTTTTCCAAAACATTCAAAATGATGGTCGGCGGCGCAGATGATCCGTCCACAGTATCCCAACCATGAACCAAATGATTTGGACTGGTCTCGTAATTTGATTTATTTGCCTTCATCTAAACAATTTGGATACGAAACGGTATAAGTATAATGCACACACAGACATGACTGATGAGCAGATGTAACCTGAAAGTTGTCATTTAATCGTGAGACGTATAGAGTGCATTGACCCCATCCGCACACTTTGTAAACCCACTCGAACGAACCTCATTTATGGTGTCTGCAGCTGTTACATGGCTCCTCATTCATCCACCCAGCTACCATCCCTTTTGTTATCCTGGTCTTGACCAAATCAGGAAAAAATGTGGACCATTTAAATGAAAATTCTTTCCCTCCGTTTCAGACCAAAAATGTCCCGACCCAAGAAAACCATCATCCACTGGAGCTTGTGACATCAACAATACAAGGACGCGTTACGCCAGTTTAGGAATTTAATTTAATTTCTATCGGAATGTCCGAAAATCGGGTTGATGGTGGCTCGTGGATGGTAGTAGTGGAGATGATGGTCTTTGCATTAGGAGATAGCCTGATTGATCGATATTCATAGTCCTGACGGCCAAACTGGGCGAGTAGGTCACCATGACATATTGGAACCAACTAATAATCAAAATGTTTGAGAGACTATAGACAGTTAATCAGTGGCATTCTCCCGGAATTGTAATAACCTGTCTGTAATGTTTATTCCTTTGACTATTAAATTTTGTTTGTAAAATGCAACTACCACTTTCACACTCAAAAAATTATCTTTTTATTCTAAATGATTCATTTTCGTCTGATATTTAACGGAGTTGTCAAACGGAAGCAATATAAATATGTCCTAACTCGTTGTCACTGAAGAAACTTAATCAGAATAAATAACTTTTCTCATTTTTTCCTCTGAAATCCAAATTACCTCTGATTTATCTTGTGCAGGAAAAACTAGGTGCTATCTTGGTCAATATTCTACTTATGTCCCTGTAGAAACCAAACATCAGTATGACATTCATCTCGTTTACTGTGAGCTTTTTGTATCTGGAATCTCGATTCATTTCAGCAGTTATCTTTCTAACAGAGTTGGAGGCATCGTTGTCTTCTTAGGACGTACAAAACAAGGAATTATGGTCAATCTGTGATTACACAAGAGTGGTTTATAACGACCGTAAATAGTGAAATTCTGGTTTCTGTCCATAGAGCATCTACCAATCTACAAATGTATTTATCAAAACTTATAGTAACATCCATTGAACAGTAGCTAAAACATTACCTAAAGTTTGCTGTCAGATGTTCGATTGCACGATGGTTCAGTTCCCACTCGGTCATATTAGCACCAACGGTATATTCATTACGGGCGAAAGGGAATTTTCTTTCGCACGGCTGGATAATAACCATACATACAGTCTATAGTTGTGATTCAGAAACAGAAATAATACAAATGTTTTAGGGTTGACTTCCTGTGTTTACAACCACAAAATAGAAATTGATAATTCACTTGAAGCATAAAAATAGCTAAGAGACTCACATTCATCCAATAACCGAATAGATTCATCAGCTTTTATCATGAAAATTCCCATATTTGGTCAGCAAATAACAGACCGATCATTAAACCAATAAATTAATACTGGTCAGTAAGTACTCAGCAGGTTATTAAATAATACTACCAGCTGAGGTATCATTAAATCTCATCCACTTCATATGGGGAGGAAAGTGAAAATAAGTATGATAGATCCATGATCTAAAGATTTAACATTAACTGGGAGGAGTTGATTTGGTCAGCGATATTAAATTCCAATTACATCTCGCTGGTTATATAAATTGCTCCTTATCATCAATTTAACCTCGAATCAAGATGACACCAAGATGGAGTATTTTGCAATGACGATATCGGACGATATCGAATCCGCGTCCAAAACAAAAGACAAATGATGTCATGTTAGAGTGTTTTCTCAGAAAGAAGTATCCTAGCCAAGATTATAACTCCCATTCTTTCACTCGAAGTATACTCACTTTGTGCCAATCTGAAATTTTTTTATTATCACGTGAATTCAACATTGTATATACAATGAAGAAAAAATTATGCATCCATGTCAAGGATGCGTTTTGAAATCAGAAACCATAGTGTAGGGTCTATCAACACACTGAAAACTGCGCCCACGACACAATACGTTCCCTACTTGGTCAAAATAATGCTGTGTTCGCTGACAGCAACGGGTTCAGGTAAAATTTTCACGTTTTTTGTGATACGGCAATACAATATTTTCATTGGAATATGAGTTATTATAGTCAGAGGCAGGATTCACTTGCACAACTAGTAAATATCGAATTTCCAAAGTGAAGACACTCAGTGGCGTGTTCTGTGTCATCGTTCGGCTACAATACACCGGTTTTCCTTATTTATCAAAAACTTATTCCAGGACAAAGTGGATAGAAACACATTCATTTTGAACTTTGCAGTTTCTCATTAACTCTAGAAAATACAACTAAAAGGCAGTGTGATGCCATTTTCGCTTAGAACTAACAATTTTTTAACAGAAAAAGGACTGACAATACGCATATGAAAAGAATATACTTTGAATAGTAAGCATAACTGAGCAGCAAGACTCACCAAGTGCTGTTCTAAATGATCTCGCCATTCGAAATATTTGTACGCGTAGTAGAAATTAGAAGGCAATAGAGCCGGTGATACGAGTGGATCCATTTCGTTCGAGTTGTACACGGGTGAAGATAATTGTCGTTTTGGTGCGCTAGAGGTTTCCGTAATAAGTGGTTCACAATCTGTCACAAACACGAATGTGTTTAGAATGAGTGGCAGTAGAATGCATGCAAACAGTAAACCGATGCGGAGAGATAAATAATCACAGACAAAATACGATCAGGAAAGGCAGAGGATATTAGTAACAGTGAAAACTGGCCTCCAAATGCGGCTGATTCCGCGCATCATCTTAAAGGAGCCAATCATGACACACGACTCTATCACCTCCCTCTCACTTTATGAGTATTGTTAGGTTGCCCTGCTCAATGCACTCTCACCCTCTCGGCGCGACATGCGCAGTTGGATGAGAGAGAAAAAGAAGGACAGCAGCGCGCGCGCTTCACATCTGAGAGTAGGCTGACTGGAGCTGGTCGAAACCAGTGTTGTGAGCTATGCATTTGCTTGCCTCCAATTGGTCCGAAGGGACCAATCAACGCGGGTTGAGAGAATACAATCTGCTCAAACCGCTTGTCGAAATTCATTTGTTTGTTCAGAACCTCGTCGTTTCACGCATTCTGTCTCAACCTTCACCACCTCACCTCCCATTCCGGTGCACTCAGTTCATGAGTTTGCAAGCCCGTAAGTAACCAGCAGGGACAGACCGATGATTTTGAGTACCGTGCACGACTCTCTGTGTGTATGTGTGTGTGTACAGTAGGCAGTAGGCAGCAAAATCATGAGAGAAATTCGGAACTATAATGAAAACTCTGGAATTGGTAAGAATATTTTCTGATCTGTGCTAACACTAGAACGACGAGAGTGTCCGTGGGGACATCAACGATCATTAAAAACTGAGTAAAATGAGAACACAAGGTGTTCAGCACAGAACTACACAACCTAGTCATGAGAATGGGATAGACAACAGCCTGATGCAAAACGTTATGAGGACAAGATATGAAAAAATCTCTACTCGTCTCAATCGTTAGTTGATTTTCGCTTTTTCTTCGTTATTCAATTTTTCTTCTTACAAACGTTTTACACACCGTTTTTTTGTAATGAATAGGATGTGTGATGAACAGGCTAAACCAGATAGTCATGAAGACTTGTTGTTCAGTTATGGAAACCGGTAGCCTAAGTGACTAACCATATAAAGCTCCACTATTTTAAGCGTGATATTGAGCTGAACGGTAGCGAAGATGTCTACCACCAAAGTTGGGTTCGAACCTTCTACCCTAAGGTTCGAAGAATATCGATAATTATCCCATTAGCCATATCCTCAATTTAGAATATGTTGGTCCTTTTTTAAGTTCTCGTACTCAGCACATATAATGCAGCAAATCCATGAAACCAGAAGGCCTATTTAGCCGTCAAATTGTTTGCGTGTTTTGTACCACCTGGTGATAATAGGAACTGAACTACTATCCAGGATACCACACGACAATTTGATGCCTATCTTAGTTTGGACTCTTTCGAATCTGGCTAAAAATGATACTTTGTTAGTCCAGTGCAGGCATTTCATTTCAGGTTAATTTAATGATTGAAATTAGATAGGCTACACTATTGGACCTTTGGTATTTCTTGTTTGAGGCTTCAATTTATCCACTGTTTGACAGACTAAAGGTATTTATTTGTGTGCGTGTGTATTCGTGTGGGCCACTGTGTAGCACAATGCAGGCTGTCTGAACAACCACGAAAGAGCTTGAATCTTGGACATGACGAAGAAAAAACAGTAACAGTAGCAGCCACAATAATGGCGCAAGTAGATATGAAAAAAATGCAATGATGGCATTTCCCAGTTTTCCACACAACACATCTGTCACCCATTTTTNTGGGATCTACAAAAGACGCCCCGAGTGGGATTTTGCAGGTCGGAGTGTTGGTGCGTCAGGTTTTTGATGCAGTACACTTCCATCTGGCGAGTGGCACGCAAACTATCATTGGTATCAACGGAAACAGTTTACATTGAAGACTGGATCCCCAGTTCTTTAGTGCGTCACGTTTGACCTGATCGGTGGAACCTGCATACTCTGGCCGGGTATTGGCCCAAGCTCCTTGGTTTCAAGCAGGTAGCCTTCATTATTTGTAATACAGTGGAAATGCTGCATTCGCTCATGAGAACAGCATATTTTACCTTTTTATTGTTACTTATATTGGTTGGGGATAATTTGCATGATCTTTATACCGATTTGAGTTCATACAATCGTAAAACTTTTACCTTGGCTGGGCGGTTTTGGCTACCCATATTGTTGAAAGAGTAGTCGGAGGAAGTAGTGTCTGGAGTGTGGCTTAATTAGAAATCACATAATTCATCACATTACCTCCCAACAGACCAAAACTTGAAATAAATTAGCTTGCCTGACTCCTGTCGCTCCCGTACTATCTATATGTATTACAATCTGCTCCACTCACCCACAGTACGAACACTTTCAAGCACGCACAAAAGCGGACAGCTCCTCCATAGTTTCTTATCTTGGTCTCTCTTTATATCACTCGGACCGTATTTGCTAGGCGCTGCCCACAGCTTTCAGTTAACTCGGTAAACCTGATGTATGCATTCCGTTTATCCTTCTCTGTGGGGCACCAGACGGTGTAATAAAACATTTTCTTGACCGAACTTGACTGGACATCACTCATTCGGAAAGTATGATAAAAGGGATGTGAGCTAACTCACTTGCTACGTAGACATACCTTGGTCTTCTGTGGATTGCTTCGAAAAATATCGGCGAATTAAGTAATTTTGTTTATTCTATTTGTCTGACTGTACATTAAACTTACCTTTTTCGTCAAAAGGTAATTTGGAGTGCACCAGTTTATAGATTTTCAACGTTTTAGACCATCTGTCAGAAATACTTTATACAAACGCTAAGAATTTCGCTGTCATAGGTGGAGTTGGGCTTGAGGAGATGAGGTCAAATCCTAACATTATTTAATCCGCCTTTTGGACCACTCAAGTCTGGAAATAACATCATCCTTCTGACGTGCGAATTCGTGCCTACTTGAGAACATCTTACAGGCTAACCGGATATAATTAAAATGAAAGATAGTCAGACCCCTCCCCCACGCGGAGGCGTTCAGTAAGTGTCGTTTAAGAGGAAACATTTCCTAACTCCAAGGTGGAGTGAGGTCAGCTACGTTCACAGACACACACGCACACACCGTGTATGTGTGTGCGATTGTCTGGTCATCTACACTATCAATTCGGAGAGGTCAGATTTCGTATAGATGAGTGGCACATCTAAAAATGAGCTTTTTCTAGTCCAAGAGGAACGGAAAACAGGTTTGTTCATGGGTCAAGTGCCACTAGACTTGGGATGGTAGCACCACCACAATTCAGAAAAAAGTTACATCCACCAGGTATTTCGCGTGTGTGTGTGCGTATTCAACGACCCGCTCTTTTCTACACCTTGACTTTTCACTAACATTGTTCTTTCTATGTACACCGATTGCTAAATAACCAGCACCAGCATCACCATTAAAATTCTGACTGGATAGACAACGAATCTGTTTATGAAACTCAATCATGGACATTTGTGGATCTTAGCGGTTACATGAAGTCATGAAGTCCGGTCGAAGTTTTGGTTTTCATGGTGGTTAGTCCATGGAGTTCGAAACGTTTCGTGGAAAAACCCCGAGTACATCTGAACCTAAGCGGCGGGATTTTATGGAAATGTGTGCTAGTACGAACTTAATGCCTCTCGGTGTATCGAAGGCAAAGGGGAAAGTGAGGCTGTGACGAGGCCTCACACGATGCACTGCCATAGTCAAGTCAGATCAACGGAACTGTGAATCTCAAAACGTGAATGTCCAGCCGCTGCATAACAAACCTAACATCAGAAGAATGAATATATAAGTAATATAACGACAGGTCGGTGGTGGTGACGCAGTGGTCTAGTCGCCGTCACCGGTGTGCGTTGGACCCTGTGGTCCGAGGTACGAGCCCCGCCACCGCCACCCAATTTCGGTGGTAGGCAGATCTGCTGTCGTCCGGTTCAATACCACGCCTAAGCTATCGGGGCCTTACGTGGTTCGCCACTCTAAGTCCCGGGTTTTTAGGTTGTCCGTTACTACCTCTGAACAGCAGCTCTTCGTGACTATGGGGTCCGCCCCATCAGCTGTTAATTACACTTAGGGGTGTAATAAAAAAATAACGCAACTGTATATGAACGCGACAATGCAGTTGTTAGTTCACGTACAATTTATTCAGGACCTGATGAGAAAACGACCGGAGTTGTGTATTACAGCATATCGGTCGTCCTTGTGCGTACATAGAAACCTTGGCATTACAAGAAAGCTGCAGAGGTGGACTGGGGCGTTTGCTGTGGTGGCAGTGGGAAGGGAGGGAGTCAATATGACCTGAAAAGGTTCTTCGAGATTTTTTTCTGTTCAGCTTCAGTGTTTAAAAAATCGTGAATATGAGTTACTCACTAGGAAGACGAAATCACTTAAATGGATGTCCGGGGTAAATAAGGAGAGAAAAAGAGGTGCAGATAAGTCAGACATTCTTGAATACTAGATCATAAAGCCAATAGGGCATTATGCATACAAAAAGAAGTGCTTGATAAGCTGTCATGAGGTAAAAAAAAAACAGTTTGAAGCAGTAATAGGCCAAAAAATGCTTCTTTGTAATTCTACAGTAATATGATTTACCCACCGGAGGTGATTGGTTACATACAGATATTTAAAAATGAATCCTCTGATGTTCATTAAATTGCGAACCGAAAATCGAGACACCATCAAATTCTTCACCGTTAAGTAAGTAAGGTCACAGAATGTGGACACACTAAGCAACATTCAGGAGCATTTGACGAGAAGCGTGATGAACGTGTTGGTTTAAAGAACTATTGGATACAACTAGATAAGCCATGCTAAAATCAAAGCCGTCTGCTTATTCAAGGCGTGATGAGTTCATGCACAAATGGAAATTGACGAGAACGAAGATTTTCCTCCATGGTCCCGTTTCCGGCTTATAGTAAAAGCCCAGCAACCAAAACGGGGTGTTGAGGAAC